AAAAAAAAAAAAAAAAAAAAAAAAAAAAAACTACCTATTAGGAATGGGTTATTATTGCAAATTTATATTTCAGAAAATAAACAGAATTTTCCTTCCATTTTGGGCCTTGAATGGGCCCAACATGAATACAGGCCACGGCCCGTAATTTACTTAAAGCCCACATTCAAAAAAGGCTCGATACAATTTTTTTTTTTTTTTAATTAGGTTAAATTATAAATGTTTGTGTATATTTTATTATTAAAATATTTAAAAGTATTTAATAAATTATATGTTTAACAATAAGCATAATTAAGTTCTCCATAAATCCTGTTATTACTAAGGTTTGTACATTTAAAATAAAGAACAATAAGAGGATTTTACACATTAATTAATCAGTTAAATTATGTAGCCGTTCGACGGTTTTCCACGGTCAACGTCAAACGGTCTTCAGAGCCGTTATCCGTCACGCCAGCTGTCTCGACCTGCGCGGATTTTACACAGACTATATATTTCTCCCGCAGTCACACTCTTATTCGGCACATTCTCATACTAGAATCAGAGCGCTCCATCAATGGCCTCTTCCCTTTTGAGTGTTCGTTGCCGAAATCAAACGGATCATTACCAGGCAATCGGAGAGCAGAATCGAAAGAAGTATCTCGCCTCGTCTCGGTGATGCAAATAGAGGTAATGTAACTTAATTTCAGCCGGCTATTCCGAATTAGGGGTTCATTGGAGAACTTAATCAAATGATTGTTCGTTTTTGTCGACACGTTTTGTATTTTTTCGTGGTTTCGATTACGGAGGATTAGGGCGTTTTTAGTAGGTTCATTTCTCCCATGGTAGCGTGATTATTATCTTGGACTCCTCGTTTCATTCCCTGTCATCTTCTATCTCTTCTCTGTGTGATGAGCCAATGGACAATCCTGATATTCAAATTTATGTATTGGCAGAAGAGAGCAGGACGACGAACTCTTATGTCATCGAGTTTTGTTCCGATAACAGAGAGGGGAAGAACAAGGCAGTTGTTCTTGATGAAGTGATTGCTTGGGCAACAGAAAAGCAGTTCGTCTTGTCATTGAGGCTGGTTGGATTTTCGCATCTGCTAGGAATACTGGTATGATTCCAACCCCAAGGCTGTGAAGTTGAATTTAAGTTTTTAGGGGGCGTGGGAAGTAAATGTTGTTTTGAAGTTTTTATTTTATTTTATTTATCATTTGTTGGCTGTGAAGTTGTGTATTGTAGCTTTAGCTTCTTTAGATGTTACCTCTGTTTGGATTATGTCAACATTTGACTGCAAGTAAGAACAGATCACAAAATATTGCTTGAAACATGTCTGGCAATGCTACTAATTCTTAGATTTCTTAATTACTCAACTAACATGTTTAGAAACGAAACTGAGAGGCCTTTCAGGGTGCATCTTCCTTCTTATATTCCTCAAGCTTAGTACAGCACAGAACATATTTAAGACAACACTTTCTGTGCAGGACACCCTAACTGAAGGCACTATATAGTGCCAGTTCACAAAAAGAGTCAATAGGTTTAACTTTATCTTGGATACCACATGATTCCTTTCGATCCAATATAAAAGCTTCTAGCAGAAAGGACCAACCTCTAGCAGAAAAATTACAATGCAGGAACAAAAGGTCAAAGATTTTCTCTTCTTTTTAGTACATACAGCAAGCATTTGGAACTTTTGGAGCTTTTCCATGAATGTCAAGGCAAAAAGATACACTCTCAGCTTCTACAAAGCGGATTACCCTCTAACAAACTGCCACAAACAATCATAACGAACATCGTGTATACACTTCGGTGATTTGGGGTCTACCAGTTTTCTGGCACTAATTTTCGTTAGGCTGTAATATGACATGACAACATCCTCTGATTAAGTTATCAAGTGTGATATATGCAGATTCTTCCATAGATTTTTTTTTTTTACCAATATGAACAACATTCAGTTTTTGCTGTTTTATATTTTCAATGTGTGAATTAACAGCCCTGCAAAATGAAGGACAAACTTTGTTTTATTTTCTATTAAGTTTACGAGTTAAAACTTTTTGACATTTTCTGTTTCTTATATTTTCTCTTAAAGGTAGAAGAAAGAATTTGATCAGCTGAAGAGGAGAATGGCAAAGTCTAAGAAATAATTTGGTCTGCTGAAGAGGAAAAGGTAAGAGTCTAAAAAAGATGTAAGCATCTGATGTGAGTGAATTTAAAATGATCTTGTTGCTTAAGAAGTTTTTGTGTCTTACTAGCTTGCTTCATTGGAAATTATTATATGACTGCAAGTCACCTGACAAGGTGCAAAAATGTTTGAATGAGATTTGGCAATTGAATAACACTATATCAGGAAGAGGGATCACACAAAGGAAGTTTTTTGATTAAGGAATGAGGGATCACACTAAAGTGAAGAATTGTTTGATTAAGGAATGAGGGATCACACAAAGGAAGTTTTTTAAATTTTAGAGGAAGGAAGCACTCGAAAAAAAGATTTGCTTCATTGATTGGTGATAAAGAAAAGTTAAAATGTATTTGGTCTATAAATTTGTTAATGGACAATTTTTTGGATATTTTTAGTTTGTGAAAGTTATGTGTGTAAGGAAGGAAAGAACAAAAGTTTGGATACAAGAATTGTGGGTTAAAGTAGTATGAGAATGGTGGATCAAGGACTATTCACTTTCATAAACGTTATGACCGAAAATGGAAGTTTGTTCAAATTGGAGATTTGAAAAGCTTATTTTGGAACCAAGAAATAGGATGTCATATGCCATGAGAAGTAGCAAAGAACTTGAATCAAGGACATGGAAGTGAAGAATTGTTGGAATCAAGGAATGAGGGATTACAAGAATGATGGTTATGTATGTAAAGAAGGAAGGACGATAAATTTGGACTTTCAAGTTTTTGATTATGGACAATCTTTTGGAGCCTTTTAGTTTAATGGTTGGATATGAAAGGACGAAGGGAAGATAAGTTTGGATACAAGAATTTTTGTTTAAAGCATAAGATTGGACTTGCATTTTTTTAATTTTTTTATTAGTTGTTCTTTGGATCCATAATAATTTTTGAAGTAGTCTAATGAGGTTTAATTTGAGGGAAGTGAATCTAAGTACTATAACGAGGAAATGGAGTATAATGAGGAAATAGAGTAAAAGAATTTTCTTAAAGAAAAGTTTTGAGTGTATTTGGTCTATAAATTAGGTAATGGTCAATTTTTTGGATCTTTTGAGTTTGATAGTTACGTAGGTAAGGAAGATGAATTTGAATATGGGAGATGTGAGTATAAGATTGGACTCCCTAGATAATCTTTTGGATTTTTTTTGTTTAATGGTTATGCATGAAAGGACGGAAGATAGATAAGTTTGGATACAAGAATTTTGGTTTAAAATTTGAGATTGAACTTCAAATTTTGATAGATGATTTCTCGTCATTCTCGGGATAAAAAATTATGTTTGAGTTAATATTGTCCAATGAAATTTTATTTGGGGCAAGTGAATAAATTGATATGATGATGAAATAAGGTACTCTCTTCGAACTGTCTATAGGAGCTTCGTTGAAGAAATAAATGAGATGATATCCTTATTTAAAGAGGAAAAAGATCCACTTAGTGTGGTAGACGGAGGACTATATTTTTTAATAGACAATAATTTCTAAGGACAATTGGAGAGCAAAGAATTAATGGAATCAAAGAAGACGGGATAGCCGAAGGAAGTTTGTCAAATTTTAGGGAATAGGAAACACTAATAAAAGAATTTGCTTAATTGGTTCTAAACAGTAAAATTATTGGACGTTGAAGCAAAGGTAGGCTGTGCAATATCTCTCGATGCTTATGGAAAATAAGAAATATAAAGGCCAATTAGTAGGAGATTTCGGCAATATCTTCCTGAAGACGAATGTTGCAAAATGTGAGCATCATAAGGTTTTTGCAACTGTAACCTGCCAAGCAAAACAAGTGATCCTTGCAGCCGCTCAAGGTTTTAGTCCTTACTTTTATTTCATTCTTATTTATGTGAAAGTAATTAGTTTGAAGTCCTCTTAACTGTCATAGGTTTGGTTACAAAACCACACAAATAATTAAAAGTTGTGAGAGAATGGATTTAAGTGGTCAAAGATTATACGTTTAAAAATTTAACAAAAAGAATAAAGAATCATGTGTTTGACTTAAAAATAATTAAGGCTAATATTTACAATCGAAGAGAGAGGAGGAAGGAGTGGTTATTAAAGACGGTAAGAGAAAATATCTATGAAAATGAAAGCTTAGCATTTATTATTTGACTGTCATGTTCGAAAATATTAAAGATCAATGGGGCCATGACAGCAATTTCTCTGACAATTAGACCCAACAAAGTCCTTAAACACTTGGCCGACTTCTTTGACTCTTAATTCCTCCTCATATCTTCAAGTTTAGTTAAGCTGTAATTTTCCTATAAATCAACCAATAGAACTAGCACTTAAAACTAGCTCGAGTCCTCAAGAATGGTGTCCCTGAAGATGATTTCCTTTGTGTTGAAGCTCCTAGTTTGCTTTGCATTGCTTCTGATTGCCTCGCCCATTTCTGCAATGGACAATACTCCTCGTATTCGTAAGACTCTTTTTCTTCACGTGTTCAAGAAGTTCTACATTAAGAATTCTTATAAAATTTCTTGTTATCTAACTTTTAGAACTATTTTCAAAATTTAAGTTAAGTTTTGAAAACTAAAACCAAATAGTTGTCAGATGTAGTCTACATTTAGGAGTAGTGTGTTTGTAACTCTTTCATGCAGGTAGGTTCCCACTATATTAATTGTGTTAGTGAAGTGGGTGCTAAGTGGGTGTTTAGATATCTCAACATGTTAAAGTTGATAGTGGACGGACCTAAAAGCAAGAGTATGGTCTAGCCATTGATCATGGGTCAATGACGAGCTGAGCTATATATTTCTAGTGGCCAGCCCGTGGCGGCAGAAAACAAACTTGAGTTAAAATAAGAAATATACCCATGAATGGATACGTTATCTTACCTTTCTCTTCAAATAAATGCCAATCAAAGTTAACTTTGTTTATGACAAAGTGTGGCTTTAATTACCCCATTTCAGCTCTTACACATGCTACTACAATGGTAGCAGCAGGAATTCGCTCGGCTTCTTCCGCTTTTTATAGTAATACCTTACATCTGGTGGTACGGGTTTCAGGTAAGATGGGGATGGAGTACAAGCTTGTTGGAAAGGCTGTGGTGGTAGCAAAACCAGTGAGACAATTGTCTGCTGATTCCCCATGGGGTGGTGGTTATCACATCCCTTAGTTGATGACATTACTTTTCAACTGCTTTCAGCTGTGCCTTTTTCCTTTGTGTTTATAGGCTTTTTGGGAGAATCAATCTTAAATAAAGCTACAAATGTATTTGTACGACTCTTTTCAAATACTTTGGTTTTGCCTCAATGTTCAAGCTCTTCCTTTCTTGATTGGGTATCACTAAGTTTCTTTCGCTTACTTTTTAGTTTAGAGATATGAGGTAACTGGATGGTTGCTTCGGCTAACACAAACTGATAAAAGACGAGTAGTTTTAGGAAATGGGCTTATTTTGAGAAAGTAATATTATAGGCTAACAAGCAATAGATAACAACATTGATAGCGTATAATCCGAGTAGGAAAAATTGACAACTAGTCACAACTCGTAAATACATTTTGAGGCATTTAAACCTTAGCAGGTGTAGACATGATTTTATCAAGCGGTCATACACCCATAAATTATAATAATATAATAATAAAAAATTAGATAACATGAAAGCAAGTAGAAAGAGTTTGAAACAGAATATGTAGCTACATACTACACGTCTTGGACAAACATGATCGTAAATATGTAACCATATGCAACACACCTGGAACAAGTAATGACCGTGACACTAGCCCTTAGATAGGAGGGAACTGTATGAGACTGTGGCGGGCTTTACTGAGCAGCGTCACCTCTGCTCCATTAGATGGAAGGATAGTGTTGACGGGTTCTTTCTAGCCCAATAGTGCCTCGACAGACACTTTTTATATAAGAGTGAGGTAATTTTATGAACGAAAAGATATCAGCGACCAGACTTCATTGACTAATACAAGTTGATGCCCATTAGCCAAAAGTCTTCTCGATTACCTATTTTTCTATGTTTTTTACCTTGAAAGTGCAGCCCTCCCCACATGTCTATTGGGTTAGTTAATATGTATTAATACACCACCAAAATCTCTCTAAACCCATTCAAGTTTTGAGCTTTATTTCCTCTGCAACCAGAAATTAATGGCTTCCCCAAGCGCCTTTGTTCCTTGGAAGGAGGTAGTCTTCTTCGCTTTGCTTCTTCTGGCTTTCAACGTTTCCGCTAGGGAACTTGTTGGAACCAACATTGTGGCTCGCACTGTCCGTAAGTCTCCTCTTTTTAATAATACCCATCTACCAATGTTGTTTTCACTTTACTTCTTGTTCTTTTTTAATAGATGAGATGACAATAGAGACGAATGTGGGCAGGAGATTGATTGCAAGACAGTTGGATACCTCTTGGGGAGGAAATTATTCTCCTCCTCCCCCTCGTCGTCCTCCTCCTCGGCCTCCTTGTCGTTATACTCCTCGTCCTTCTCTTCCTCGTTCTCGTCCCGGTTCCCGTCCTCTTCCTCCACGCTGATCCTCCAAGGGAAAAAATTTGAATTGTTTGTGTGTTTTATCTTTAATTCCCTTTGTTTTAGCATGTTTAGATTTGGAGGATAAGGATATTTACAAGTAAAGTCCTATGAACTTTCTTTTTTCTTTAATGGTGTTGTGTGATTTTGGTCAAGCCATAGGCGCAAGCCCTCTGGAGTTAATGACTCATATCTTTCTAAACAATGTTAGTTCAATTATGAGAGCTCAAACTTTATAGAGTTTTGATATTATTCTATACAGCTTTAGTTTTAAAACTCTACGAATTTCATAGATCTCATTCACATTGCCATTATTTTATGGGCGAATTACCAAACAGGGTGCAGATGGGCGAACTGTTTAAACACAGTCAACCACTTAAAATGGGCGAACTGTTTAAATGCAAGTGGATCTTTTCTGTTCTGTGATAGCCCATTTTCCCATCAATGAAAATTTAACCTTAAATTTGGCAATAAATAACTAAATAAGATTAGTCTCAGCTACCTCCCAGCTTAATGCTCTACTGTTTCTGCAACCAACAACACTCTTTTACTGCACAAACCTCGTACTACTTGTAAGCTGTCTGTCCCATTATTTTCTGATGCTAGCTTTTCTTGCCCCCTCTCAATATTTGTCACTTCGAAGTTTAAATAGTGTGTTTGAGATGTCTTTTGAAAGAATGTTTCTAAGTTTTGTGTACTTTTGAATGTTTCTTTTTTGAACGACACTTTTTATAAATTAAAGGAATTTAAGCCTTTGTAGAATAAAAAAGTCCAGAGTGTAAAGTAAAAAATACTAAAACATAATTACGAGAGCTTATTCTTAAAGTGACAATATCATATTGTTGGGGAGATCTGTGAAGGGTTGTTATTTCTAACGTATTATTTATGTTCAAATGTTTGGGAAGGTTTAAGGTAACATGGCTGGTGGAGTACAAAGATGCTGAGAAAGCCGTGGTTGTAGCAAAAAGCAAAGAAACCCACTTCTGATGATGTCCCACGGGGTTGAGGTATTGTTTATCATCCAATATTAAACAACTCTTGATGAGATTTTCAACTGTTTGGATCAGCTGTTTGGTGTCTTTTAGTTGCTTTGTTCTTCCCAATGCAATGAAATATCCGCACACTTTCTCTTACCAGAACCTAACAGTTCATTAATATTATGCCTGTCGACACGTAGTATAAGGTTTAGATGTCACTCTCTACAGAGAGCAGCAACTATATGGATATCATCCATCATCTGGAAATGATAAAAGTAGATGGATTCACCATTTCGAACTTCCCACCTCGAGTGACTTGAGAAAAAACTGTTATATCTGATGATAGCCCTCCATGGAGAACGACATGAGCTCTTGGGAGGGAATCCTTCCAAACTGGTGGCTACTGTATTTGCTAGAGATCACTTGAGATCATAACTGTCTTTTTTCTACCATTTACAGAGGAGAGGACAATATTAGCTTCATTGACTTCAAAAACTCTGAACCCTCATTTAGATTTTGGGGTTGTGACCATGTCCCAGTTTACAAGATCAGACCCTTTCCCATAGAAAATTTCTCATCTTCTCAAATCTCAATGGCTTTACAAACACGGATTGTGGCTTTAAAAATTGTGAGATCTTATAGGTGGGCAAATTGATCAAAACTGATTGAATCAAGGGTGAGCCGGCCACCTTTAGAAATGTAAGAAAATTTTCCATTTTCAAATAGACAACAATAACAAGAGCCTGCCAACTTGTAACCGTCCAAACCTATTACTAATAGATATTGTCCGTTTTGGCTCGTTACGTATCATTGTCAGCATCATGGTTTTAAAACGCGTCTGCTAGGAGAGAGGTTTCTACACCCTTATAATGAATGTTTTGTTCCTCTCTTCAACCGACGCGGGATCTCACAATCTACCTTTCTCCCTTGTAATTAATGTTTCTCACAATCCACCCTCTCCCTCATATTGAATGTTTCGTTCCCCTCTTCAACTTCTCACAATCTACCTCTCCCATGTAATGAATGTTTCGTCCCCTTCTTCGACCAATGTGGGATCTCACAATCCATTCCCCTTGAGGACTCAGCGTCGTCGCTGGCACACCGCTCGGTGTCTGGCTCTAATACCATTTGTAATAGCCCAAACCCACCGCTAACAAATATCATCCGCTTTGGCCCATTACGTATCGTCGTCAGCCTCACGGTTTTAAAATTCATCTTCTAGTGAGAGGTTTTCACACCCTTATAATGAATGTTTTGATCCCCTCTCTAATCGATGTGGGATCTCACATTCCATCCCCTTGGGAACCCAGCGTTCTCATTGGCATACTACTCAGTGTCTGACTTTGATACCACTTGTAACAATTTAAGCCCACCGCTAACAGATATTGTCTACTTTGGCCCATTACGTATTGTCGTCAGCCTCACAATTTTAAAACACGTCTGTTAGGAAGGTACAACAACAAATGGTGATAGACTTCATTCACATGTACAAATCTATTAGTGATAGCAGTCTATCAGTCACTAATATTTGCAACCACTCCCTTAAAAATTCGTCCCTTTAATATTATATATAAAATTACATGACAAACAAAATGAGACCCTTTCAAAATATATTGAATATTAGACTATTTCCTCCACATGTTTACATCTATGCATATTCCCAATTTTCTATGCTCTAAGCATAGAGGTATGAAGAAATTTCCTCGAATGTTCCCTATTTTCACTTAGAATAATTAACATTGTTTTGAAATGTTGTTCTTCCAGCCAACCAAAATATCTCATGTTCATACTCTTCTTCATTCTTTGAGTATCAAATCCTTCCATAGAAGAGACGGGTTTTGGGATTCTGGCTTTTGAAATTGGTAGCAACATCTACCAATTTCAGCAGATCATACTGCATCTGTTCCTGACTGGTTGCCTTCATAAGAACCAAAAAGCTATAATAATGATAGCTTAACCCCCAAGTAACCAAGTTTGTGTAAATCTTCAAAAAGGTTTACAAATAGACGTGTTGTTTTGGGGCGTTTACTTTGACCATATTGGAGAACAAGTTGACAGAAAAATAATAGCTATCCAAACAGGTGCCTCACACAGCCGCAGGAAGAGAGCATAAAATAAACAAATCTTCTTTAGAATGCCTTCTTCTTCAAGGTTTTGATTCTTGGCCTCTTGGAAGTGAAGCTCTCTATAAGTTTGGTGGGTTTATATAAGCCAAAACAAAGTCTCTATTGACACAGCTTGAGCTTGTAAATATGGCTTCCACCAGACCATGTTTTGCTGCTTGGAAGATTGTCTTCTTTGCTTTACTTCTCCTTGCCTTCAACGTTTCTGCAAGAAATCTTGTTGGAACTAATGTAGTGGCTAGTATAGCTGGTAAGCTCTCCCTTGAGGTGATGTTTTTCTTTTTCTTTAGAGATGTTTATTTAATTTGTGATTATTGTGCATATCCGTCATGGACAGATTAGAGAATTCTCATTTAAACGGATAATGAGGGAGGGAGCGAAAAGAGGTTTTTTCCTGTTAGTTAAAAGGGGATGAAGAACCAACTACTAACTTATAAGTTTTTTACTCCATATTCAAATTCACAACAAAACACATCAAATTAAAAAAAAAATTGAATTTACGTCCAAGTTTCATGGAACTTAAAATATAAGTTGGAAAAATTTGTGTGACCAGGTGAAAGGGCAGCGGATTCAAATGATGAGAAGGGCACGATGAGATTATTTAACCAAGTGTTGGATAGCGCTTGGAAGGGACACTATAATCCTCCCAACAAGTTCAACCACCAACCTTGAATGTTTGTTTACGTTCATTCCAACATAATTGAATTATTCTCTCTCTCACTATATATAGTTTAGCTATTGTGTATAAATGTTTCTCTAAGTTGTTTACATCTAATTGCTTAAATTAAAGATCATGAATGGTGATAATACTGAACTGTGCAGATCATGAATGGTGACAATACTGAACTGTGCAGATCATGAATGGTGACAATACTGAACTGTGCAAGTGTCAGTTCTCATACGGTTAGAAAGAGGAGTAAAACATTTTTTGTAAGGGTGTAGAAACTTATTCTTAATAGACACGTTTTAAAAATGTAAAAAATTTATTTATATTTAACTAATTTAAAATCGAAATATCAAACTAATATCAATATAAATGTGTTAAGAATCAAGATTTAAGCTCGAGTTTGATGACTTATGAGATTTACAAGTTTAAACTTTTTTTTTTTTTGTACGTTTCTAAGAAATCAATAATTTTTAGCCTTTCAAATCAGATTAATAATCAACTTAAATCTTTTTTTTTATTATTTGCTAAAGTCAACTCACATGATAATAAAAAATTGAACTAGTCCCATCTGTCGGCTATTCGAGTTTATGAACCCGGGGAAAAAATGATAATAAAAATTGGATCTTCTTCTTTTTTCTAGATGGGTCCGATAATTCGAGAACTAGGTTGAGGAGTTTGAGGGATTTCTTGCTTCAAAATACTCGGTTTCAAAGTTCTAGTCCCATTTTACAATCATTGGGAAATTTGAGTAATTCAACCGTCCTTCATCTCAATGATTTTTTTTTTCTCTTTTGAAGAAACTCGATTCTAAGATTCCTATCGAGCTTGGAAGCCTTGCTAATCTTGGACATCTAGACCTCTCTAAGAATACGTTGAGTGGATCAATTCCATTTCGAATAGGAAGTCTTGTGAGGTGGTAGGATCTACTAGATCTAAGTAATAATTCAGTAGAGGAAGCTTTGGCTTAGCTCATGTGTTGAGCATAGAAAAGGAGCAAAACCGTTCAAATGTTGAAAGTGTCGAGGTCGTAAAAGGCATTATTCAAGCGTTATCTTATCTTCATTATGATTGTACTCCTCCGATCAAACATCAAGACATAACAACCAACAATATCCTTGTAAACTTTGAGTTTGAAGGACATCTTGCAGACTTTGGCACAACAAGGTTTTTGAAACCCGACATGTCTCGTTCGACAACGGTTACAAACACTCATGGCGACAATTCCCCAAGTGAGATTCAAACTCCTTTCTTTTATTCCTAAATTTTCCAACTTAACATGACAGATCTTGCACACATAAGGGTAACGACCAAAAGATGTGATGTCTACTGCTTTAGTGTGGTGGCGCTATACATTTTGAGAGACCTCATTTTATGATTGCACTCTTAACCGGATTACAACGTTGAACTGAATGACATTTTAGACACTCGTCTAGTAATCAACCACTTGTTGATAACGATTCCAGCAATTTCGTGCTCACACAAAGACCCTCAAAGAGCAACCAAATATACGAAATACATGCTAACTACGGGAAATTCAAGCACCAAGTAGCTAGTATATTACAAACGGCAAAGCCATGTTGAATCAAATAACGTGTAGACTTAAACATTTAAATTTTCAGTCTGTCGTCGTTATTAAATTATATATTAAATATTGACCGCTCGACAATTATAGAAATATTCCACCTTCCATTTATATATTTGGTTACCTTTAGTTGGTAAGCTATCTTTGTCACTTTGGTCATGTGAGCTGCCTAGGTTGTCTAAATTAAACAATTTCATACAATATTTTAATAGCTTAACTACTTCACTATTTTAATTAATTACTTGTTTATTTATTTTAGTGTAACGCTACAAATAATTCCTTCTAGAACGATAAATGTGTTTTTTTTTTTTTTAATATTAATATAAATTAAGTATATTTTTAGAGAGCGTCCAATTTCTTTGAGACTAAAAATTTGGTAAAGGAAGTAAACGAATGAATTTTAAAATATGAATTAAATCATATACCATAGACTTTGACTCGATCCATTTTCCTTTTTCTTACTTTTAAATCTCGAAAATGGTCTACAAAACTAATAATTTCGAGGTGAAATTAGAAATTTAAAAATTAAAAATTAAATAATTATTAAATCAGATTTTAAAAAATTCACATTATAATGGGTCGAAGTTATGTTCTGAAATTAAGAGTTAAAATGAGTTAAATTTTTTTAGGTTTGGATTGGGTTATGAACGGTATTCAAACACTTAAGATCATCAATCCAACTAAACCGAAATTTTAGGTCGGTCTAAAAAACATTCTAATCTGATCCGGATATACGAATAACGGGTATACGAATAATAAAATATGTTATATGTTTGGAACTTTATAATATGTATGAATAATTTGAAAGGGAGGTGGAAAATTTTAATTCTCTGAAGCTTTTGAAAGCTACGATCTTTTAATTTGACCAGAAGAACATGAACATTTCACAACTGGGTCCATTTTATTCTCCTATATGATCTTACACTGTCGATCAAAACAGGAATCAAATCATCATGGCCGACCAAAACAAGCAACGGCTCTCTGTTTCATTTGCAAGTTCATGTGTGTTCGTGTTCTTGCTTCTTCTTTCTTCCTTCGAATCCATGGAAGGTTCAGCCATGGAAGCTCAAGCTCTTCTCCGATGGAAGCGAAGCCTCCCACCACAAAAGGTTTTAGATTCATGGGTCGAAGCTTTAAACTCAAGCTCCTCTGTTTCAGCTCCATGTCAATGGCGGGGTATCACATGCAACGAACAGAGCAGCGTCATTGATATCAAATTAGACAACACTGGCTTAATGGGTACTCTCGATCACTTGAACTTCTCTTCTTTTCCTAATCTCCTCCGTCTCGATCTCAAAATCAACAATCTCTCTGGTGTAATTCCTTCCTCCATTGGAGCTCTTTCAAAGCTCCAATTTCTTGATCTTTCCACCAATTATCTCAACAGTACTCTGCCTCTTTCACTTGCAAATCTCACCAACGTTTTTGAGCTTGATGTTTCTCGTAATTTCATTACTGGGTCTTTGGATTCTCGTCTTTTCCCAGATGGGTCTGGTAATTCAAGAACTGGGTTGAAGAGTTTGAGGAATTTCTTGCTTCAAGATACTCTGCTTCGAGGCAGAGTACCAGAGGAGATTGGTAATATCAAGACTTTGAACTTGATTGCTTTCGACAGAAGTCAATTTTCTGGTCCAATTCCTCAATCTTTGGGGAATCTAAGTAATCTAAACGTTCTTCGTCTCAATGAAAATCATTTTTCAGGACAAATTCCAAAAAGTATAGCAAATTTGAAGAACTTAACTGATTTACGTTTGTTCACCAACAATTTATCTGGTAAATTGCCACAAAATTTGGGAAATTCATCATCTTTGAGTGTTCTTCATCTTGCTGAAAACAATTTCATTGGTAATTTGCCTCCACAAGTGTGTAAAGGAGGAAAACTTGTTAATTTCTCAGCTGCTTACAATAGTTTTTCAGGCCCTGTTCCTTCGAGCCTGCAAAACTGTTCTAGTTTATTCCGGGTTTTGATCCAAAACAATAGCTTAACAGGATTGTTAGATCAAGCTTTTGGAGTGTATCCAAGCCTTAATTACATTGATTTGAGCTACAATCAATTGAAAGGAACCCTCTCTCCCAATTGGGGAGATTGCAAAAAGTTAACCCTTTTAAGGATCACTGGGAATCAAGTAAATGGTGAAATCCCAGAAGAGATTCTTGGGTTGAAGAACTTAGCAGAACTTGAACTCTCATACAACAATCTCTCTGGATCGATACCGAAACGTATCGGAAACTTGTCGAAACTACTGATACTCGGACTACGTCGTAATCGGCTATCTGGGTCGATTCCTATAGGGATAGGAAGCATTGGCAATCTAGCAAGTCTTGATCTTTCCATGAATGTGTTGAGTGGATCCATTCCTTATGAACTTGGTGAGTGTTCTAGGCTGCAATATTTAAGCTTGAGCAGGAATCAGCTAAATGGGTCAATCCCATTTAGCATTGGAAAGCTTGCAGCCTTGCAGATATTGCTTGATTTGAGTTACAATTCATTGAGTGAAGAACTTCCTTACACTTTGGGGAATCTAAAAAGCTTAGAGAATTTGAGTTTATCTCATAACAATCTCTCTGGTTCTGTCCCAAATTCATTAGCCACCATGGTGAGTTTGATATCCATTGATCTTTCATTCAACAACTTAGAGGGCCCTCTTCCTGATGGAGGCATCTTTAGCAGAGCTGAAGCAGCTGCATTCAGTAACAACAAAGGTTTATGTTCAAACGATATCGTGGGGTTGCCGAGCTGCAACGACCACGAGAACGACGACGGAGACACTACAAAGAAGAAGCTCGTAGCGATTCTTGTTCCTACTATAGTCGGAGCTGCATTGGTTTCTTTAGTACTCTTTGGAATTGTTAGTTATATCCTTCGAAAGAGAACCAAGCGTGTCTCGGATAGTAATACGACGGTTCGAGACATATGGTACTTCTTCAATGGTAAAGTTACGTATTCGGAGATAATTGAAGCTAGTAAGGATTTTGATGATGAGTACTGCATAGGGGAGGGAGGTTCGGGCAAGGTTTACAAAGTCGAAACGTCCGACCGTGCCGTATATGCAGTGAAGAAGCTACATGATTCGTGGGACGACGACGACGACATGACGATGCAGAATTCGAAGAAGTTTCGAAATGAAGCAAGAGGTTTAACAGAAATAAAGCATGGGAACATAGTGAGGCTCTTGGGATTTTGTTGTACAAAAGTTCATACATTCTTGGTTTATGAGTATATCAACAGAGGCAGCTTAGCTCATATATTGAGTGATGCAAAAGAAGCAATGGAGCTAGATTGGTCCAAGAGAATCCGGGCGGTGAAAGGCACGGCTCGAGCGCTATCTTATCTGCATCACTATTGCATCCCTCCGATCATACATCGAAACATAACGAGCAAGAACATCTTACTCGACTCGAGATATGAAGCTCGTGTTTCGGATTTCGGGACTGCAAGATTTATGAACACCGATGCGTCGAATTGCATAGCAGTTGCAGGCACAACTGGCTACATTGCTCCAGGTAACATATGAAATTCTTTCCATATAAGTGTTCATTGGTTGGAATAATAACCGTTCATATCTCTGCAGAGCTTGCATACACAACGGTGGTGACGGAAAAATGTGACGTCTATAGCTTTGGTGTTTTGGCGCTCGAAGTTTTAGCAGGAACGCATCCTGGAGATATCATTTTTGCTTTGCAATCTTCGTCTGATAACAATATTGATCTTAAAGATGTTCTAGATTTTCGTTTGCCGTTTCCTCAAACGCAAAAGATCGTCGACGACTTATGTTTGATAATGAATGTAGTGATCTCGTGCGTGCAAACGGACCCGTCGTCACGACCAACAATGTCGAATGTGAACTGGTTGCTGGAAGTGCAGGGTGCAGTTGGTTAATGTCATAGACTCCATGAGGACTGTGTTTTTGTTTTAATAAACATATATTTTTTCTTTTTCTAGCTCTCCTTCCTCTTCCTCGTTCATGTAATAACTAAGTCTATTACTAGCAGATATTATTCGCTTTAGCTCGGTATGTATTATTGTCAGCCTCATAATTTTAAAACACGTCTATTAAAGAGAGGTTTTATAAGAACTCCAGCCCACTGCCAGTAGATATTATTGTCCACTTTAGCTCGTCATATATCGTCGTCTGCCTCATGATCTTAAAACGCATCTACTAGAGAGAGGTTTTGTAACAACCCCAGTCCACTGCTAGAAGATATTATTGTCCGCTTTAGCTCGTTATGTATCGTCGTCAGCCTCATGATTTTAGAATACGTCTACTAGAGAGAGGTCTTGTAGCAGCCCAAGTCCATCGCTAACAAACATTGTCCATTTTGATACAAAACAGCCCAAGTCTACCGCTAGCAAATATTGTCTGCTTTGGTCCGTTACGTATCGTCGTTAGTCTCACAGTTTTAAAACATGTATACTAAGATAGATTTTCATACACTTATAAGGAATGCTTCGTTTCCACACCCTTATAAGGAATGCTTCGTTCATCTCTTCAACCGATATGAGATCTCACAATTAGTGAACAGACAATACAAGACACTGGTTGGAGTAAGGCTAAACCCTCTCCACAATAAAAACGTTTTAAAAATAACACAAATATGTAACAGAGAAAAGCAAACAATATCTACTAGTAGTGGACTTAGACGGTTACACTCGAGATTCCAAAAACAACAATTACTAGAAAACATAGGATCAAAACACTTACAAAAAAAAAAACATCACAACAAAACTCAAGCTCTTATTGGTTCATAACACTTCAGCCAGCATAGGAACATCACAGCCATCATGGGTGATAGCCAGAGGTTTGGATGGCGGCCTTGTTCGCCGCCTGTGGGTTGTCAATATAGTTGCCTCCTCTGGGGCGAGCTGAACTCAGAAGCTGAGTCCCAAACGCAGTCTCCCCACTCATATTCATGGTCTCAACTACGCAACAAAAACACAAATTCCCTCATAAAACACAATAAAAGTTAGAATTAAAGAGATGAAAGCAAAAGGCATATGAGAGCTTACAATCAGCAATAGGTAAAGTAGTAGTCCGGACAGGTCTCCCTGTGGCCATATGGACAAGAACAAGAACCATCACACTCAACAATATGGGCGCTCTCTTGAAACCCATTCCCATCAAACTCTCTTTGGGGATGAATTCTTAGCCATTGGGTTATGGGTATTTATAGAGCACCAAAGCAGCTTCCTTTTTGCTTGAGATTACCAATGAACAGAGGCACTAATGTCTTTTTAACCATGTTTTTGAAATGATGTCTTTTTTTGCTTACTTATTTAAGCTCAGCTAAGAAACAAGAGTGGACTTCGAAGTCAACCACTGAGGTTGACATTGATGCTCACCAAACCCACTGACAAAACTTATCCGCAGCCTAAATTGACTTGCCTCTCTCCATGAATGCCTTGTGATAATGGGAAAAGTAAGTTAGTTTTGTGGCTAAATTCATGCTTGTTTGTTTGTTTGTTTGTCGGGTTTGAAGATCTAACTCGATTATTTGACTCAAATAGTGTACATCTAACATCCCAAGTTCACCACTAGTAGATATTATCCGTTTTGACTCGTTACGTATCGTTGTTAATCTCACAGTTTTAAACACGTCTGTCAAGGAGAGTTTTCTATACTGTTATAAAAAATGTTTTGTTCTCCTCTCTAATTGATGTGTGATATCTCACAATCAACCTTCCTTGAGAGTTCAATATTTTTGTTGGTACACCGCGGGATGATTTTAGCTCTCTTCGATTTAACTTTAATCTTCTTCATTCTTCGTGATCATTTAAGTTCAATCTTCAATCTTCTATCTTTTGACCTCCTCCAGTCTTCTTCTTGAGTATGGGCTTTATGGGCTTGGGCTTGATTATATTTGGGCCCAACCATTCAACGCTCCTCTCTTTCTCTCTCGCGATAGTGAAACTTAGAGCGACAACGACAACTGTGATGTCCCATATTAATTGGGGAGGAGAACAAAAACACCATTTATAAGAGTGTGTACACCTTCCCCTAGCAGACGCGTTTTAAAGCCTTGAGGGGAAGTCCAAAAGGGAAAGTCCAAAGAGAATAATATGTACTAGCGATAGATCTGGGTCATTAGAAATGGTATTAGAAATGCTAGCCTTCTCACTGTTCTCCGAAGAGGATAGACACGAGGGTGGTGTGCCAGTAAGGACGCTGACCCCAAAGGAGGGTGGATTTCGTAGAGGTCCCACATCCATTGGAGAAAGAAACATCGGGCCCCGAAGGGGGTGGATTGTGATGTCCCACATTAGTTGGAGAGGAGAACAAATTGAGAGAAAACCGAAAAAGAAAGCCAAGAGGACTTTGAAATTAGAGACTACGACATACCCATATAATTTTATAATAACCATAACCCTAATTTAACTAGAAATTTGATACATGCTAGAATCATTAAACTTATCTTATCTTGTCATAAACCGACCAGATTTGTTTAAAATTACACAAACGATCAGCAATTATGTCATGTCTCTGTCCATTTTGTCCAATTGCATGGGTGGACTTGGACGACCAACCACCACGTAGCAGCTTTCACTTGAACCTTATTTTAAACGAACACAATTAATCTTATAAATTAAATGTTTTACATCAAAATCATTGTCTTCAACTATTTGTCTCTTGTGGCATATATTCGAGAAAATATCATAAAACACAAACAGGAGGGTGTGGACTAGACGTATTCAAACTTAAAGATATCAATTTTACATTAAAAAACGAAGACCAAATCATAGCATTAATAAAACTCAACGTTGAGCCAAGTGGGTCTATAAATACATAACCAAAGTTAATAAATACCAACACCAAAGAGTAATTGTTCTTCATTCTTACATATCAATTAAGCTCTCTCTCTCGTTCTAAAATGGCTTCCACGAATGTTTCAGTGAGTTGGAGAGCTGTGTTCTTCATTGCTATGCTTTTAATGGCTTCTAATGTTTCTTCCAGGAAACTTCTTGATGCTAATATCCCTGTTGAGGATGGCTTCAACGTTGAAATTGGCGCATCTTCCTTCTTCTGTGAGTATCAATTTCTCTCTCGGATGTTCAGCTCGAGCTTTTCTGTGTTCGTATGTTGAGTGTTTTGTTTTTTGAAATTTGGGTCGGAGAATTTAAGGTTTATTGTTCTTAAGATTCAAACTTTTGACTTTCTAGTCAGAGATGTGTATCAATTATGGTCTAATTTGTTGATTTCAGATGAGTTGGAGGGCGAGCTCGAAAAGAGATTCGAGAGTTTCATAAAATCACACACTGACAATGATGTTCCTCGAGGTGGAAACTACTAGTTGGATGTGAAATAAGTTTCATGTTCCTTCAATCTTCATTAAGAATCCTTTTGTGCATAATAAAGAGATTAAAGGAACAATTCTTGATCTATTCACATGCAATAACATAACAATTATTTGAATATATATTGAAGATGAGTTACTAATAACCCATTCAAGCCCTATCCTTGAAACCCGTTTCAACGAACGATTCATAGATATCTAAGAATCGTTCTCTTACTTCGAGAATATCTAGAGTTTCTCGAACAATATTGTGATATCCCTCTTCCTAAAGCTATCGAATGTTCTTGTAAATTATGGCTAATATCAAGAATATAATTTTAAACTTCGAAGGAGTATAAAACCTAAAGCAACTTTCTATACACGCTCAAACAAAATCAATGGTACCCAACTCTTTTGGTATCCGTTTGATCTTCTATTTCCATTCCCAATTCATCTTTCTCGAGTTTAAATCAAACCCATTTGATATTTTTAAATTTTGAAGACTTAAAACCTCTCGATTCATCTAACAAAAAAAAAAAAAAAACATTTTTAAGGTAGTTGAGGAAATTGGTCATTGAGACAGTCATAGTAGATACCAATTAGCTAAGAAACATATATTGATTAAGTAAGAAACCACTTCAATTATTCATGTTTTGTCTGGTTTGTTTGTCTTTAAGATCTATCAATTCTTTTATTGTAAAAAGAGTTGCTTATTGAAAAGTAGAGGTTAATTGATGAGTTGACAGTCCATTTGTTTAATTTAACGGTTTCATAATGAACAAGCTAACCATGTCTCTTTAGTTGTCTATTTCAAGGAGTTGGTGCACAAAACAACACACAAATTTTAACAATATATGTCGTCTAAACCTTAAATTAAATATGTAAAATAATTAACATTACAAACTCATTGTAATATTTCAAGCCCACCATTAGTAGATATTGTTCGATTTGGTCCGTTACGTATCACTGTCAGTCTTATAAGTTTAAAACTCGTCTACTAGAGAGAGATTTCCACACTCTTTTAAAAATCTAACATAATGCTGACACTCAAACCCACCGATGATAGAAAAAAATAAAAAATTTAATTTAATTTAAGAGACACGTTTTACTTGTTCTTCGTTCGTTATTGCCACAGGAGTGTTCCCACTAAGATGGAACTGAAAGGGACGCGTTTGAAAGCAGCCAAAATAGAACATTTAGTTGACCAAAATATTTGACTTTTCAGTCCATTCAATTGAAGCTATGTAAGCTTAAATAAATAGCCATTGCTATCCGAGCTTGGTACCACACGCAACAATGGCTTTCATTACAGCTCGCACCATTGCTCTATGCAAACTGATGCTCGTCTTAACAATCATCTTACCCTCCAACAATGTCGCTGCAAGGAATTTACTCGACGTGCCTCGCTTCACTCGTAAGTTAATCACTAGATGTTTTAATGTGATATTATGAACTCTCGACGTCGGTACTCGATGTAATATTGGTCGTCTTTGTAACGTCGTTTTAATGTTGTTGAGTTTTGAATAGATGTGAAACGTGATGAGATGAATAATACAAATGTTGGAGTGCCTAATCCTCCTCAATCACCCGGAGATGGACCGTGGGATATCCCTTGGGATGGTAATGTTTGAGAGAGATCGAAG